TTTAGTTATCTACTATATATATATATATATATATATATATATAGTAGGGTTTGAAGGTTTATAGATGGAGTGCCAAAACCTAAATTTGGTGGGACATAGAAAATTGCAAGGTCCCTAAGAATGTAGATCCCAATGCCATTGCTCAAAGCATAAACTCTGGCAAAAAGGGGCTATATGAGTACAGTTCATATCACGGCTTAATACATACACAAGGGGAAACATAGAGAGAGAGAGGGGGTTGGGGGAGAGAGAGATAGGGGTTTAGGAAAACACAAGGGAGAGAGAGATCGAGAGGAGGTAATATGGAGAGAGAGGGGGCCATATGGACAAAGTGGGAGAGGGCTATATGAGGAGAAGAGAGAGAAGGGGATTGTGGAGTGATGGGAGAGAGAGAGAGGGGTAATACGGAGGAAGAGAGAGAGAGGTGATTTTGAGTAATACACGGAGGAGGGGCTTGGGGAGAGAAAAAGAGGGAGAGGTTAGAGAGAAAAGATAGGTTTAGAAAGGTTTGTCAGTTTATAATTTGTTTGAGTTAGAAAAATAGGATTAAAGTGGAAAACTTAGTCTTGAGATTAGAAGATATAAAACATAGGATTTCTATTGCTCATGATATGTTTTAAAATATTGGGTCAATGGAGATAGGAAACTTAAAAATAGGAGATATGAAGATATTTTTTTAAAGTAAAATGTAGGATATCTAGTTGAAGTTCCATTAGCGGAATATATTCAAAACGTGTGACAATCTCCAAGATAGATGGCATTTTATACAAATAACCTTTTATAGAAGAAATAAGACAAAGTAAGGTTGTGCGTGCATAATACTTTTGAACCCTAAATTCTACAGAGAAAATATATATAATGAGACCATCTTCTTTTGATACAAGGAGATTACAATCATTATTGACCATTAGATTTAAAATCCGGTGGTTGAAGATGTGTCATTGTTTGGGCACAAAGTCCAAAATAAAATTTCTCAAACGTTGTGACGCATTTTTATCTTTTGGATTTCACATCCAATGCTCAAAAGTGATTTTGACTTTTTTGTACTAAAAAAAAATGGTCTCATAGTATACAATCCTTTTCCAAAAATATTGAAGTTCAGCCCATTTATTTTCTCCCAAAAGTTTTGCCCTATTCTCAGTTGTATTTTTCCATAGCTCTCAGATATAAATTACTCTTAATAAACATCTTTTCAGTACATATCTTCCCATAAAAGGCGGAGCCTCCATCTCAATTCTATCTTACTACTCTCTTCCAGGTACCCAACTAAATAAGCAACTTCTAACATCTTTTCCACATAAAAATGCTAATACTACATCATCTCAGCTCTACTGTTTTTTGCTCTCAAATAGATATGGTGCCTCACTTGTTGCTCAGTTGATGAGCCAACTACTAATGTGTGCTGCCCAAGTATAACCTTCCTCTTTCCCTCTTCATCCACTGAACTCAAGTCCTTGCATAAATCAACACTTATGGTTGCCAACACAACTTCTCCTCTCTTCACCTCAACCCTGGTAAACCCAATCAGTTGTTGCTTTGGGTTTCCATTGATCTCAGTAGTGTTAGGAGGCTTCCAAAATAATAATACCACATGAGTCCCATGAATCGGACCCTCATTTTTTACTCCAACAGTCACATTGAATCTCAAGTGGTCACAAATAACTGTTGACAAGTCGATTGCTCTTCTGGGATCCGTCACCAATGCATCAAGAATGTTGTGTTTGATATCCAACTCCGAGCTTTGAGTAGGCTTAATTGGTATAGAGAGAGAAGAAGGTGCATTTTTTATGAACTTGGAGAAAGTGGAGTAACTTAGTCCATGACCAAATTCATAGATGGGTTTTCCTGAGTAAAACCTGTATGTCCTTCCTGGGAAGTTGGTGGTGGCATTGGGCCTCATGTTCATGTCTGTCATGAGGACTTTATCTGCAAATTCCTGAGGGTACCATGTGAATGGTGACCTACCCCCTGTTAGTTACCAAAAGAGCATCAGTCTTACCTGGTTTAGATGCTAAACCTCAGGTTGCAAAACAAATTTAGGCACCATGCATCCAAATTGAGTTTGAAAAGGATTTGATTCTTAGCATTAGACAAGGCTTTGATCTTAGCAAAGAAAGAAGAAAAAGAAGGGAGACCGCTGTGAAACTTACTTATTTAGTCTCATGATAATTACTCCCTTACACTTACAGTCAAGAGAGTAAACCATTCTAATTGCATAGCAATATTTATTGAAACCGTATACTAGACAGTCCGTCTATCTTTATAATAAGGAGGTCACAACTAATACTAGACATCAATTGTCAAATCGGATAGCTTAAAGTATATCACGGAGTTTAAAAAGAATTTTCTATGAACTTTGAGCTTAATCAATCACAAACTCTCGTCCTACTGATTTCAAATCTAACGACCAGAAATGATTGTGAACTCCTCATACAAAAGATAAATGGTTTTATTGTATATATTTCCATATTTATTTTATTTATGCAAGTTTCTGTTGTGTGGGTTAGAGTGAGAAGGAGAGAGAGAAACACATACCAGGATTATAGTCCCCAAATATGACTTGAGCTATGGCATCTCCACCAGCCTCACCAGGGTATCCGACCCACAATATCCCCCTTATGTTGCTCTTGTTCACAACAAAAGAAACATCAATCGGCCCAGCTGACATGATCACAAGTATCATCGTCCCCTTGGCGGCATCCGCTACATCAGAGACCAATTTCTCTTGTAAACCAGGCAAGGTTAAGTTCACCCTATCCAATCCCTCAGCCTCTATAGATTGATCAAGTCCAACAACTAACACCACAACATCAGCACTAGAGGCTGCCTTGGCAGCTCCTGCAATGAGGCTTCCATCTTTGCAACCCACATTCGCACACCCTGGATAATAACTTGTGCTCAAATTGTATTTTTGCATACCTTGTAATGGGGTGACATATTTGCAAGGTATTCCAGCATAATTGCTTATCATAACTTCAGTTACATTAGCATTGGGTCCAATTATAGCCATTGTTTTTAGGGCTTTGTCACACAAAGGGAGGGCTCCATCATTGTAGAGGAGGACAATCCCTTGCTTGGCTGCTTCAAGGGCCAATTGTTGGTGTGGGGCCGTGCACACGTCGGCGGGGCCCAACTTGCCAAATGGAAGCTGTTTGGGGTCGCCATCAAAGAAGCCTAATCTCATCAACACTATGTAATTGTTGATTAAGGCTTGGTCTACCACTGATTCTTCGACTTTGCCGGTTTTCACTGCATTTCCTGTGTATTTTCCTAGGTACGTCCCACAATTCATGTCCAGACCTGAATAACAAACAACTGTATTGTGAGGGTGGGGTTTAGGATTCAAACCTTGAAATTGAGCTTGCGACACACTTTCTCTCCCTCTCTTTCTTCAGTGGAGAAGGGATCCTTTAGTCTATTATAAAAATAAAACTCAAGACATCATTTTGTGGTGCTCCATTAAGTTGACCATTTAGCCTTAAGCCCGTGTCTCCCAACATTTTTCAAATTTAGCTCAGCTTTTTCTCTCTCCATATTTAGTTTACTCTCATTCTCTCTCTTTTGATTAATATTACTCTCTCCCCCACTAACCATAATGAGGGCCATCTCTCACGATGATGAGGGCCAAGTTTTGAGAGGATTATGTGAAACTTTATCGGAGAACATATTAAGTGTAATGCCATGAAAGAACCTGCTTTTAGTGCTGCAGCCACTGCATCTTCTGGTGTCGCCGAATAATGGATTGCATTATAAAAAACTTCGATTGAGTCGCAATCGGAAACAATGTACCTAACAACATAATAATCGATTAAGTTAATATACTTTCTCCTCCTCCCAAACTTTTATGTTACCATTTATTCTTTCACAGGAAAATCGGGAAGCTTGTGAGGCTCTACTAGCCCAGTGTTGGAACGATCTGACTGGGCTGAGTAGTCGGCCTGAGGTCTGGCGCAACTACAAAGGGTTAAAAAGATTAAAAATACAATTTTTTTTTAAAAATAGGAAAATATTTTAGAAGTAAAATTAAACAAAAAACTACCTAAATGAGGTTAAAAAAATAATCAAGAATAGATTTTGAAAAAATCACTTTGCAATGTGCTATTTTAGAAACAATCCACAAGGAAAGAAAACATGTAAAAAAATAATAAATATTCATGGGCAAAACACTTTCCAATCCTTACCAAAATAATAAAAAATGTAAAGCAATATACTACAAATAAAGTTCTTATTTTTTCTAAAATTTTTATAATTTTTTAATGTCCTTGATTTTAGACACCCAACTCGAGATATTCCGGCTCCCATGGTGGCAAGTCCGAGTTACTCAAACTGTCCCTGGCTCGCCTGAGTAATGTACTAGCCTTATAATCGACTAGTTGAACCGGAGTAATGTACTAGCCTTATAATAGACTAGTTGTATTTTTTACTATTAGGATGAGCGTGATGTCATCTATATGGGATGTGACAACACCGAATATACTATCTATATACAAAGAAATGTATAAGTATTCAAAATTTGTTCAGTACAATGATAAATTATTCTATAGTTTGAACACCTTAACATAACCCTATAAATAATCGTGTAAATATGCATTAAAGAGTATATAGAAATGCAGTAAACATTTATGTAAATATTCACATAGAAGGCACAAGCCCAACAAACATATGCACGTTCTTTCTCTCTATATATACACACACACACACACATACATATTAAATATAAACACCACATGGTATCCGCAAAATCGAATCATAACGGTTAACCAGATATGGACATGGAAGCGGTTTAACCGGCCTAACTGGTAAACCAGTCGATTCAATTGTTCTAATTGGGCAAGTCCCGAACGGTCAAAAAAGTGTTGAAAAAAATAAAAAAGATACAAAAAAAATCTATTAAAAGATGAAAAACATATGAAAAATGCTTAAAATAAACCACATTCAAATGAAGTTGAAAATTAATGAAAAAATAGATTTTAATGGATGGATTTGTGCCTAAAGGTATTTTTAAAATTTTATGAAAAATATGAGAAAATATAAAAGTGAGTATTAATAACCAAAACAATTTTTAATCTTTACAGTAATGTAAATAATATTAGAAAAGGGAAAGCTTTCTATGTCCCCCTACAACATAGAAGTTCTATGTTTCCCTTTATCCAACCGTCCATTTATGAATGGAGGGCTAAGATTGCCCCTTTATCCAACCGTCCATTTTTTAATGGAGGGCTACGATTGCCCCAATCACAATGTCACGTCTTTACACTGTTTTATTTTTATTTATTTTTATATAAACTGTTTTTACACCAAATTTTGGGTATATTCCTATATTAAACTCATACTAACGAAAAATATAAAAAAAAATATTTTCAATAAAATAAAATGAACAAAATACCCTTAAAAATTTCAAAGGGTATTTTGATCATTATTTTTTATCTAAAAATTATTGTTAATATTTTTTTATAGGTGTGCTCCAATGGAAGATGGCACAAATCAAATTCCTTATTTTTAAAAATTTATATACATTTTTTTTATTTATTTTTAAATACTAACGGATCACAAAAACCACTCAAAACCAGAAACAACCACTCTAACTTGGCCATTAGCTATTAAAACGCCCGATTTTTCCAACAGTACATTAAATGACCTCTCTCTCACAAACCCAGTAAATATAAGCTCATCTCTCTCTCTTTCTCTCACATACAACAATAAAAGCACCATGAACCTCCTCCAACACACTAAACAAAACATGTCTTTCTCTCACAAACCCAGCAAACAAAAGCATGTCCCTTTCTCTCTCCTCTCTGTCACAAAGCAATAAGCCCCACCAGCATCAAACCCAACCCAGTGGACATTATCAGAGACATTATTTTCTGAAGCACATAACTTTACAATTAAATTTATTTATAAAGTTCTTCCAAATAAAAAAGGAAGGCACAAACATGCTTTCTTATTTTTTGAAGTTAAGAATTTTCAAGTATTTATGAAATTGTAATAAAAATTTAAAATTAGTAAAAAAATGGGGTAGAGAGAAAAAATGCATAAATTTAAAATTGAAAATATTAGAAAAGCATTTTGCATTGAAACATTTTTTTTTTTCTTAATTAAGATTCAACATAATAAATGGAAGAGAGCATATACGCATAAAGAAAGTATTTAAAAATAAAAAACTTGTTATAAAAATTAAAAATACCTGTAAAAAATAAATAAAGTAACCAAGTGAAAGTCATTGTTCACAAAATAATATTGTTTTTACTATTACTGATAATATTTATAGGTTAAAAATCTCTCTTATATTTAGATAAATATTGCAATCCTATAGGTTAAAAATCTCTCTTATATTTAGATAAATATTGCAATTCCTATCCATCTCTGTACGGTTGAGATAATGAAAGGAAATAGGGTGACACATAGTAGTTGTCTGTACGGTCGAGATAATGAGGGGCTGATGTATTTCTCTTTCTCCAACATTGATGTCTATCTATTTTGTTTAATAATTGTACGTGCCAACCGTTTGTCAAATATTCATATCTATTTATTTCATTAATACTAGTATATACTAGCTACTTCTTATTAACATCTGCACCTTCTTCTTATTAACATCTCCACCTTCTCTATTAAAATGTACACTTTCGTTTTAAAAATTTTCCACCTTTCTTATTAACATGCACACCTTCCTTTTAAAATTTTATTAATAATTGTATGTGCGGCAGCTCCTCATTATTAGCATGTACACTTTCTTTTTAAAATTTGTAAATATCTTTATTTTCTAGAATCTCTTTCATTCATTGTTCTCAAAAACTCATAAAGATTGTTTATCTTTTAATTTTAAGTGATATCTATGCGTGCCAACCCTTATGGCTCCTAAGGTTAGCGTATACAAATTTTAGGAGGTGATCCTAGGATTTTTAGAGGGAATCCTTGTAGTACCTTATAAACTTTATTGATATTTTAATATATCTCCTGGCACTCTTTAGAAAGAGAACTCATCTCTCTCTCTCCTATCTCTCTAACTCACGAACCCACAAAATTAGAACTTTAATAACTATCATTAATTTCCTCCAATAACAAAAATATAAAATTAAAACTTTAATAACTATCATTAATTTCCTCCAATAACAAAAATATAAATTATTTGTCAAATTAAGTGAGAATAGTCTATCTTTCCATAAATTTGCTCTCTCTACATGAGTATTTTTCTCTCTCTACACTTGAGTAGTCTTTGGAATAGATTACTATAAAAGAAATTGCCATCTTTATCTTAAATATGGAAACCTATTTTTCTCTCCTCGTTCTCTCATGTACTCATCTCTCTCTCCCCTCAATAGGAAAACCTATTTTTCTCTTTGTTTTTCTCTCTACCTTTGTCTCACAATATCTTCTCCAAGTACATCCCTCTCCCATAAAAATAGGGATTTGGCACCTTAGGCTTTTTTTTGTATTTAGAAGTTATGTACCCTACATGCACTCTAAAATTAAGATCCTTTTTTATTTTGGTGACAAGTACCCATCCGATATGAAAACCTATTTTTCTCCTTGATTTTCTCTCTTTCTTTCACAATTTCTTCTCTATGTACTCTCTCTTTCACACATCTCTCTCCCTTTCACATGTCTCTCTCCCTCTCACACATCTCTCTCCTTTAAAGATAGAGATTAGGCACCCTAGGCTTTTTTAATTTAGAAGATATGTGCCCTACATACACTCTTGAATTAAGGCCCCTCCTATTTTCACAATAGGTACCCACCCCTTAATTTTAGCTTAATAATAATGTAGTATAGAATGATATCACATGCATTCTAGAACTTTTGTGTCTTGATATGGAAATTAAAATATGGAAAAACAAATGAAAAAGTAATGGGTGCAGTGTTGATACTGCGATGCATGGTTACGAACCCTAAACCCATCTTGGAGAAGATCGGTACCTCAAACTCTGCAAGTCCCTAAGCCACACCTCCAAACTCAAAATTGGAAACAAAAAAAGGAAAATATACTTTGAGCTTTAATCTGCTTTTCAAGTCTCTCAGTTATGGTTCCGTGACTCGCAAGTGTCCACTTGCAATTTGGATTCACCCGAGTCCAATGGGAACTTCGACCGGCCCATGGTATGTGTACAACTCGGGGATACTCGGAACTCGAGCAAGACCGATTCTCCTGGAGTTGTAAGTACAATTCGGGGTACATAAAAAAATTCAAAAAAATTATTAGAATTGTAGAAATTGTGTAAATTTTTTTTCTATTATTTACGTGTTTTGGAAATGATTGAGCCGTGCCAAAGTTGGCAGCCAAAAAATTTTCCAAAAATGAGGGGAAAGAGAAAATAAAAAAGCATACCCATCTAGGTTCCATTGTCCCCTGACCACCCCTTTAAGGAGGTTGGGATCAGCACAGGTGGGGATGCCATTGACTCTGTTATAGGAGCACATCACACTGCTCACTTGCCCCTCCTCAACACAGTTCTTGAACGGTGGCTGGTATGTATCTTCCATGTCTTGCAATTTCACCTGCACCCTCCCAAACCCACAATTCCATTTATCAACCCATGAAAACTAAAAACAGTAAAAGCAATGAAACCAATTCCCTTTCTCTGTGGGAAGCTCACTTGACAAGGGTCAGGCCATCATTTTCAAAATAGTGTTTCATGACTTCACCGAATCCATTCAGACTTGGCTTAGTAAATTGGCCTCACCCTAGTGTTGAGGCTAGTTGGGAGCTCAACTCGCCCCTCACCAAAAAAAGCGAGGCTAGTTGGGTTCGAGTTGGGAGCTCAACTCGCCCCTCATCAAAAAAAGTGAGGCTAGTTGGGCTTGAGTTGGGAGCTCAACTCGCCCCTCACCAAAAAAAAACAAAAAAAAGCAATAAAAATTTAACGGTGTGGTTTGTATAAAACCAAGATCCTAAACAATCAAAAGTAAGGTGCACCTGTAAATAGTGTTGAAAGATGATGTTTCAATACTGGAAATATTTGTGATGGCTTGAAAATTTATTTTCATATCTAATTATAAAATTTAAAGTTTCAAGAATAGTTAGATCAAACAAATCTATGAACACTTAAAAAACTGGAAAATTGACTGTCTAAAAATACATTATAAAATGCACTATGTCCAAGACTTGAATTCCATTTTTTCTCATGTCTATACATCTTGAAGTCGAAATGATCAATTTGATGATTTTGGCATCGAAACAACTTGTTTTAGTGAATTTTTGAGGTGCACCTTAATTTAATCTCGCCCGTATATAAAATTTTCCCAAAATTTAAAATTATAGAAATCTAAAAAACGAGTCTAGAGAATCCCGAAATGCTAGGTCTTTCTACTTTTTCGACTACTTTCTGATCACTTGAATATTTTTCCGATGATTTTCATCTCCCATTTTTTACTGCATTTTCCGTTTCCCAGCATTATGTACTGATGGGGTTCCCAAATTCTAGCAAGAATCATGAGTTTTTTGGCTTATAAATCTTTTCACTGTTAAGGATATGGGATTGTATATAATGAGACCATTTTTTTTACCTTCAGTACAAGGAGATCACAATTACTTATAACCATCTGATGTAAAATCTGATAACTTGGATGTTTGATAGAGTTAGAAAATAATTCTTTTAAACTTTGAGCTTAGTCAATGCAATAAATGCAGCCACCCAATTTCACATCCAATGGTCAAGTTTAATTGTGATCACCTTGTACTAAAGATAAATAATCTCATTGTATACTTTTCTTAAAGATATAGTATTTTCCAATGTTGTTAGATTTGCTTCGGAGTCTTTTACGGTTTGGTGAAAAAAATGAAGCAATTCGGTACTTCAATCCGACTCATACGACTCTCTCTCTCTTGCATCTTCCTTTCTTCATCTTCATTTCTTTGATCCCTAGATCTCTTGCAATACGACCGCACCATCTAACCATGATGCCGCTCAAGCTTCTTGTAAGAAATTGGTATGTCCTATAATATAGGAAAAAGTTTATATAGAGCCGAGGCTCAAAATAATCAAATTAGAGCCTGCCTCAAAAATTTCACTAGGAGAGGTTGTTTTTGATGTCCAAATATCTTCAAATTAATCAACTCGACATCAAGATGCATGGATATGAGAAAAAAATGGGTTTTAGAAATAGTGCATCTTGTAACGCATTTTTGAACTGCCAATTTTAAAGATTTTCATATTTTCATAGATTTGCTCGATCTACACTATTTTTAAAGCTTTAAATTTTATAATTAAAGATAAAAATATATTTTAAGGCTATCACAAAGATTTCTAGTATTGAAACCACCTTTCTCGACACTATTTGAAGGTGTGATTTATTTTGATTGTTTATAGCCTCGGTTCTATACAAACCGTACCCATAATATATACTACTTTGTTTCTTTTTTTTATTATTATTTATAGCCTCGGTTCTATACAAACCGTGCCACAATATATACCTTTTTTTTAAAAAAAATAAAAATAAAATAAAAAATTGGGCTGGATACTCGCCTTGACCAATAAGCGAGTAAAATGACCATGGAGAGACCTGACATCTTGATTCAAATAGGATACCTAGAACTACAGAAACTGTCAGATGTCTAGAATAAGACATCGAACGTTTGCGATCTCCCACTCACTCTATCAAAGACCAAATAGTATAGGATGCGGGTTTATCAATAAACATACTGTAGCATCAAAGTGGAAGCGATCAACCCCTTTCCAGTTATCGACATCATAAGCTGTGTAATGCTTGCAACAACTTGAAACCTTGAGACTGTTAGAAGATGTTGCCTCATTGTCAGGGTCCTGCAATCCTCGAACATAGTTGACAGCATAGCGACTAACAACTACGGGGTCCTCACCGGGGGTCTCCTGACCTCTTCCCCACCTATAAAAGAAAATAAGTCAGGTCAGCTTGTTTGACTTTTATAGGGATAAACTTCAACAGTTCAAACCATAGTTGTCAAGACCGAGCATGATTGGAGTCCAATTGGTGGAATTGCCAGCTGGTTTGGTCTAGAGTAAAAATCTTTATTGATAAAAAAACCAATCAAAATTTTGTTTTTGACTCGTTTAGGCCAATTTGACCAGTTTAATCATCCAAATAAAATGGGCAACTGTTATAAAAAATAAAAATATATTTTTAAATTATTATTCGTAATCTCAATATTTCTAAAATCTGGCCAAATCAATTGGACTAGTAGTTGGACCAGTTTTGATTGAGCCAGTCCCCTCACCAGTTCAGTGGCCAACCAAACCCTTCACAAGTTTAGTGGCCAATCCGATCTTGATAACATTCATTTAAACCCTTCACCTCTCTCACCCAAATTGACATACTTATGACTAAGCCAAAGCCTAAGGGACTGAAAGAATATAATAGATGAGTCCTTCCTAACCTAGGATCACGAAAGACGTTGACATTTGGGCTCCAGTAGGTGAGCCCCGCCAGCCCAGTGTTATACATGGCTCGAGCCTCGGTTGAAACCACTTGGCCCATCACAAACCATAGTGTCTCATTGAAGGAGGCACCACTCAGGATGACTGCAGGAAAACTGGTGGCACCTGGGATAGTGCCATTGAAGTGCACCGCGGGCCCAACATTGGAGACCCCATGTAAGGCCTCAGACCACCACTCGTAGGGTGGGACCCCTAACCTAGCAACCCCGGCAGCCTTGTTCACCAGCTGTTGAACCTTCTCCGTGAGGTTTAGGCGGGAAACGAGATCCTGTGCTCGATCATGTATGGGCAGTGAGATATTACAAAACGGCAATGGTGCGGCCTCACCTTTGTCACATGCATAAGGGATTACTGGTTGCGGGGTAACATGGAGGAGGAGGAGGAAGAGAAGTAGAGTTTCATAGTTTGGGAGTTGCAATGAGAGGAAGTGTTTGTTGCCAAAGAGTCTCTTCATGTTTGCTAGGTGGTGGGATGAAATCTGGAGCTTTAAGCATGTGATTATATATAACTTACCAATGATTCAGAGGCCATGTTACTTTGCTTTGCTTGGCTTTTGGGGTAAAGTGAGAAAGGCATTCCTTTCAATGCAAGGGATAGATGATGTGTGTTTTCTCTTTCTTCTTATTTTAGGCAAGCTTTCTAAACTTCTCATATTATCCACTGGCCGTCCTAAATGGATGGCTGAGATGACCTCAATTATAATGTCACATTTCTACACTATTTTATTTTTACAAAATTTTTTGACACCAAATATTGGGCACTTGTAAAATATATATATTCTCAATAAAATAAAATGATCAAAATTCTCTTAAAAGTTTCAAAGGTATTTTGATCATTATATTTTATAAAAAATATTTTTAATATTTATTTTAGGTGCTCCCCATTAAGATGATGACATGTACTAAATTTATATTCATATAGTATAATTTGTACAAAAAATAAAAAATAAAATATGCTAAGATGTCAGATCTAGATTGAACGGTCGGTGGCTCACTTGATCTAAATTGAACGACTGGATGAAGAGAAATATACACAGGGGAATTATAGAGACCTTTTCCGTGTCCCTCTGTCTCTATTTATGAGAGGAGTGAGTTTGAAGAGAGAAGTTTTAGTGGAGGATTATAGAAGGAGAAGGAAACACTCATATCCCGATGGACTGCTTATAATAACCGCATGTTTGTGGAAGGCATGAGTGAGGCCACTATCCATCTGTGTTGTAGCGTGTAAGACTCAAACACCATCTTCTTGTTTCTCCACGGTGTTGTCCATTGATTCACCATCACTTTAATCCACTCGGCACTGATGTGGAACCATACTGCTTTTTTATTCTCTCCCTCTCTAATGGAAGTAAACTGGGGGAAATCAGTCTTGATTCCTAGGTTTGTTCCATGAAGGCAAGATGTAAAACCTCTATGTGAAGATGAGAGAGATGCATGTACATCCAGTGAGCAGAATATCGACTCGGTTCGTGGCGAGTCAGAGACTCCGCTGAGTTTGGTACACCTCAGAAAAAGTGAAAAAAAGGGTAAAAATCTTCAAAATTCAGAAAAAATTCAAATGACCATTAGAATCATTAAGAGACTAAATAAGATAAAAAATATATAAAAGATAGATTATTGAAGAAGTGGATATAAATTCAATTTTTTTAAAAAATGGAAATTATAAAATTTTCAAATGATCTTAAAAAAATAATAAAATCTTCTAAATAAGTATTTTTGACCATTATGCTAGTATGTTATTTTCTTTTCTTTTTTTTTTTACATTTTTTAAGTATTTATTTAGGTTGGTGAGTTGTACACTTAACTCACTAGGTACTCAGCTGAGTATAAAAGGACTTAGCCTAATCTTGACACACTGTTCACATCTATCTTTGGTCTCCACTCCTGGCCAGGTTCAACACTGGAGAATGTTTTCATGCAACTATGTCATGCTCCACAACCCTACCATTGAATTAAGTTTTGAAGTAAGGTTTAATGAGCCTAGAGGTCTCAGTTTCAGGCATGAGATAATAAACTTTGAAACATAAGACGCGAATGATACAACCTTTCCATTTAGTGTGCGGTTTGTATAGAGCCGAGGCTCTAAATAATCAAAGTAACTCTCACCTTCAAATAGTATCGAGGAATGTGGTTTTAATATTAAAAATCTTTGTGATAGCCTTAAAATATATTTTGTTGAAAAAATTGCATGTTGATAGAATATTTATGCAAAAACATACATGTTATTATATTTCTAATGCAAAACTGTATTATATTTTTAATGTAGTTTTGCATTAAAAATGTATTTTCAATTTTTAAAACTTTGAATGCAAAAAATACATGTTTTTAAATTGTATTATCATAAGTAATTAAAGTGAATATCATTGTAAAAAAATCATGGCACCAGCGTGACCAAGAAGAAGAACGACGTCGTCTATCATTTTATTTTTTGATCGTATGTTACTAATTGTATGCTTTATTGTAATCCATGTATGTTGATATATTTATTCCATGGTAATACTATGTTTATCCTTTTGTGTGATGTAAATTAAATGGTAAATAGTAGTTCATGCAGGGAAAGAACATATCAATATTCGCATATTCATGCAAAGAAATGAAAATTCTTAATGGAGTACCCTCATTTCTTATTGAATTATTAAAAAACAATATTTATAATTAATTTTAATAATTTTTTAAGATTTTTTTGAAGCTTTAATCTAACCGATTCAGCCGATTCTCGATCCGGATCGCCGATTCCCCGATCCGGATTGGTTTTTGAGGTGCCCGAACCGGGTCATCAATCCGCTTTTAAACCATTGGGGTGGATAATTTGGTCCCTTTGTGTCTTCATATTCTCAACTTTTAATTGGGACTATTGGAATTGTTTCTTCCTTTCGTGGGTTGGACTTTTTTATTTATATAGGAGCTCCCCATTGAATAGATCCTGACCTAAGGCAATTCTTATCATTCAGTTTTTGAAATTCCTTGATAAAATACGTCACTCTACCATTTCGGTTTTCATTTTCAGAGCGGTTTCTTTCTGTGCTCCAATGCCATATTGGATGATTTTCAATTCTGAGCATGAATTCCAACTTGTCGATCTTTATCAAGTTGATTAGGTCTTCATTTTCACAGTTGTTTCTTCTTGTGCCCCTAGGTAATATTGGATAATTTTTAAGCTTGAGTAGGGTTTTCGACACATTGATCTTTATCAAGTTGATACCAGCTAGGGCTTCTTCATCTTCATCAGTCCTATCATCTGATATTACCTGACTTTGCTTTGAGTAAGCCCCATCTATGTCCTTAAATGATTCTGGTGATGGTTCTGACTTGGGATTGTCGTTAAATTCTTCAATTGTCATCTCTTCAGAGTTACATTTAGGCGAATCTTCATTTTAGTCAGGCTCTTGTTTCTTCATGAATTTATCTAACTCTTTCCCTAGTATGGTTTCATCAGGCTCTTGCCCCAGTGTAACTGGTGATTGATCTCGGTCCCTTTCCTTTGCTCTCACATAACGTAAAACCATTTCTAACATTGAGTCAAAAGAGAAACTGATGTAGAGTTTATACTTAGGGGAAGCATTCTCTATGGCCATACCGATCTTAGAGGCTTTAGAAAGCATGCAATCAATGAGTTTTGATGCAGCCTCTCTAAATCGTTGGACAAAATCTATAAACAACTCTTCCGGATTGTGTTAAGTGGAGACCAATTCACTAAGGGTCATTGATCTCTCTCTGGTCCCATGATGTTGCTCAACAAAACGTTGAAACAACTCATTAGGAGTTTGATTCGGGTATTTTGATACCACCTCTCGAAACCATGTTAAAACTTCTTTAGAGAGAGTGTACTGACATATAGCCTTGAAACGACGAGGTTTCTCTTCAAGTGCAAGAACAGTCAATAGGTAAGCGATGATGTGATTTTCAGGATCACCTTTCTCATTGAACTTATTTTCAAACTGAGGGAATTCGAAACCCGGAGGAAGAGATTCGACATCCCCGAGAACATCATTGGTATAAGATTTTGGATAAAGTATATTTGGAACTCTAATCTTAGCCAGGGTATCTTTAACTATGGTTAATTCACCTTTCAACTGGGTGACTCAATTGACTCAGGGGGTTTTAACCTCAGAGGTATGTTGGTTTCTCAGAATTAATGATATAGATTTTGGTGCAGGAGATGCAGCTAATATGGGATGCACCGGACTAGGGATAGGCTGGGCCTGTGAGATGGTTGGAGGAGCCGGAAGCTAAAAAGCCGGCGTCGGGGTCTGAAAATGGATAGTGGGGGCTTGGTGCATAAGATACCCCAGGTAAGGGTGATTAGAGAAGGGGACTGCAGACGGAGGGTATGAAGCTGACTGGTATGGCTGACTTGGAGGATACTGGGTTGAAACAGGGGCTGAATAGGCTGCTTGTGACTAATGGTACGAAATTAGGGCACTTGAAAAGGCTGCACAGGTGAATAACTATACATAACTTGTAAAGGGTCAGGTATGGATTGACTAAGGGATGAACGGTCATGTGGTCAAGCCGAATCTGTAGAAGTTGGACGATGAGAAGATTGGTGATGCTAGCTCGCCGACGGGGTGGAACTCACATGACTTTGTTGGTAATGGGCGAAAAAGGTCATCTGATTCTAACATGATTGATGACTCGATGTCATAGGTGAGGCATGTGGCTCAACAAGGCCATCACGCTTCAAGAAAGCCTTGACCTCGAGTGGGGCATGTGGCTCAACAAGGCCAGCACACTTCCAGAAAGCCTTCACCTCGGGTAAGTTCTTGAGACACTCAATTGAGAGGGACTCTTAATCCCTAGAATTGTGTATGGATGAATCTTGAGGAATAGAAGCAAGCTTGAAGAACTCTTGGGTTTAGGTGAAGATGTCTTACTCTCTAGTTTTCCTTGGTGGCTAGCATTGCTTGAGTTAGATTTGGACATTTGTGGGAGGTGCGCCCCTGATTGGGCAGTATATTCCCTAGATATAAACTTAGAAGATGAAGGTTGGTTCAACCCTGATTTTTTAGCTTCGGATCGAATGCTCTAACTGTTTTAAGTAACTCGAGCCATACAAACTTGTTGCACTCCATGGTTTGGCTGGACTACATATGTGTTAGCTAGGCTTAGCCCTGAGCATGGGATTATGGACCCATTGAAGCCTGATCTCGACTGACTTGAGACATTGTAGGCCCAAGAAACTGAGCCATAAAGTCCTGTGGGTCTAGTCTAAGGGGTACTAGATGACACAATAAACTACGTATCTGAGTCCCTATGAACTACAGACATGACTAGAAATTTATGCAACAAAAATCTTCTCTTTTTTTTTTTTCTTGTTTTTTTTAGCTATCTAAAAAAAAAAGAAAAAGATAAAGATGCGTCTAAAAGAAAAATATTTTTTTTTGTTTTTTTGTTTTAAAGAAGATAATGTCAATAAAATGATAAGCTATGCAGATAAGGTTAAACAACAAAAGATAAGATTAAAAAAAAATGAGATCTATTTCTAATCTAAACAGATAAAGCAGAGAAGGCTTAGATCTATATCTTTTTTTCTTTTTTTTAAAATATCTTATCAAAAGATATATATATATATATATTTTAAATTAGGAGAGAGATAAAGATTCTTTCAAAAAGATGTATTCTAAAAAGATAAAGATGTACTTAAAGAAGATGATAAACATAAATAAAAGAAAATATGAAAAAGATGATATCAAGATGAATCTAAAGATGTTATCAAAAAAACAAAGATGATCTAAAAGGTGAATATAAAAGAAAGATTTACTGATAAAAATGATCAAGATAGATCTAAAAGAAAGATGATCTAAAAGATGAATCTAAAGAAGATCTAAAGATAAAGATGATCAAGATGAGATCTAAAATAAAGATGATCTAAAAGATGAATCTAAAGAAGATCTAAAGATAAAGATGATCAAGATGACATCTAAAAAAATGAGAATCTAAAAAAAATAAAGATGACCTAAAAGATGATCTAAAGATTGAGAGGAAAAAGATCTTAAATTTTCTATGAAGAGAAAAAAAAAGGTCTAGAAAGAAAATATATAAACTAATATAAAAAATCTTTTTCAATCTAACTCCTTTTCTTTTTTTTTTTTTTTTTTTTTGCTGGAAAAATAAATATGAGAAACAAGAAAACTTCTTTAAATCGAAAATATTGATCTTAAGTTCAAGGTGCCCCACGATGGGCACCAAACTGTTTACGCTCCGATCTGCGCCAGTCTCTGGGATGAAATCTGCTCAAATCTTAACAAAAATTGAGTTACTTTTGAAAAGGTAGAGAGAGTGAGGTCGCTTGCAGTATGGGCTCAGAAAAATCCATCCATATAGATATGGACTTTTTCTGAGTCCACTGCAGCACCAACTCCAAATCCATATTTTGACTTAAAAAAAACAGTTCCTAAATTTAATTAAATCTAATAATGAATTAATTTCCAGAAAAAGAAAATAAAACAAAAAATTAAATGAAGAAAAGCAAATTAAATCAAGCAAAGAAAGATACACTTACCTCTTGGGACCTGAAACTCGGAGTTTCGAGCTTGGATCAAGTCGCTCTTCTGATTTGCACCACCATCTCTCTTTTTTTGGATGCATTTGCTTGCTGGAATTGGTAGATCTAATGTTTTTTGACCTAGATCTAGGGTTCTTAATGCATTGGGAAAAGCTGTGAATTTTAGATAGGATCCACTTAGGTTTTTTTTACGATTTGAGGACAATTTCCTTAGTTTTTTAAAGGTTTTGGGATCTCCTAGGGTTGAATATGAATTTTGGGATTTTCTGTGATTTTTGGGCTGTTAGAAAGCTCATGGAGTTCTCAGTATATTTGTTATATTCTTAACTCTTTAGTTCTAATTCACATCAAATCTCATTAAAATTATTTAATTTTATTATATTTTAGATAAGGTTGCAGTTTGTATAGAGCCTAGGCTCTAAACAATCAAATTAGAGCCTACCTTTAAATAGTATCGAGAAATGTGGTTTAGCACTGAAAGTCTCTGTGATAGCCTTAAAATATATTTTGATATTTATTTATCAAATTTAAGCTTTAAAAATAGTGTAGATCAATAGATCTATGAAAATCTTGAAAATTGAGGGTCAAAAAATATATTACAAAATATATTATTTCCAAAACTTGAAATCAATTTTTTTCTCATGTCCATGCATCTTGATATTGAGATGATCAATTTGAGTACTTTTTAGCATCAAAACAATATTGTCTAGTGAAATTTTTGATGTAAGCTCGAATGTGATTGTTTAGAGCCTCGGTTCTATATAATCTTTTCCCTTTAGATAATTAAAATGAAATTTGTGATTTCTCTGGATACTTTATTTTATTAAAAAATATTTTAAACAAGAAAAAATCAATTTTCTGGATTAAAAATTTAATTCAGAGAGAAATAAAATATTTAATAGATTTATTCAATTATTTTTTAATATTTTAAATATAATATAAGGTTTGGGGACCCATTGGGATTTTGGGCCCACCACATATAAGCCCACTAGTGGGGGCGTAGGGCCCACATGGCTCTCCATATCCGGGGGTGCCCCACTCCCTCTTCTTTCCTATCTTGTGTGGCTTGTGTGTTAAGCCATCTCTTTGATTTAAAAATAAAAGGAAAGTAAAGTGGAATGGATTTCATTGATTTCAAATAAGCAAGTGTAGAGATTGATTGAAAATTGATTTGTAAATATAATATTTTTCTACATAATATTTAACGGGAATAAAATTATAAAAACTGTGAAATAACGATTTCACCTCATTCCTTTAATCATGATGGTTGATATAAGGAACGAATGATTGAGATCTCTTCACCCCACAAATCTCCATGTTAAAGACCAAGATTGAGTATCATAATAATAGCAAAACCCTAGACCCCAAAACCCTAGCCTCCTCTCTCTAAATATATATATGCGAGTGTATTCTCTATACTCGTGAAATTGTAAAGTGGGCACGGGGCACAATTCATGCTGGATGAGGCGCAATTTGAGTCGGTAGATCGATCAGAGTGCTGTCTAGATGGAGGAGGGAGGTGTTCCGATGAGTCCAGATAGGGAGCACAGTGCACGATTAGTGCCTAATGAGGTGCGCCTCGAGTAAGGGGTCCGATTCGAAACACAATCTAAGTGAAGAGGTGAAGTACGCCGAGGGGTCAAGTGATAAGAGTGAGCACGAGGCACAATATGTGCCAAGCGGGGCACGCCCAAATTCGAGGATGCCGTGCTTAAAGCGCAATTAACGCGAGGGCTCAGGTGGTCTTTGAAATTGGTTTTTAATCCCAAATAGTTTTGTCTCTTTGGAATTGGTTTTCTTCCACGTTTTAAGTTCTTCGGACTGATATTTATATGAACTTGAACTGTACCTCTAAAATCTTGCCTTAAACTTAATTTTGATGGCATCTCATTTGGAAATCTAGGGCCCAAGCTTTTTCGCAACAATTTGGGATTGGTTCTTTTTTTTTTTTCGGGTCCTTATGGGTCTACAACAGCCAATCATGCCGAATTGGCTGTTCTCCTTCAAGGCCTTCATATTATCATCGATAAGAGTTTTATTGGTGATATTATAATTGAAAGAGATTTTCTTAATGTTATCAAGTGGTGTAGAAAAAAGCAAAAGATCGCCTAGTCTCTATTTACTCTAAAAATTCAAAACTTATGTGCGGGGTCTAATTTGAAGATAAGCTTCGACCACACTGTGTGTGAAGCCAATGATATCACTGATGGACTAGTTAAACATGGTGCTTCTTTTCTCTTTTTACAAGTTTCTAACAATTTGATCCAATCTTTGTAATCTCATGCCCTTGAAGCATTGTTTTAATATAAGTTTATAACATTTGTCAAAAAAAAAAGGAAAAAAAAATAATAATAATAATAATAAGGGAAAAAAAAGCTGGGCCTGGCCGGTCTGCACGGCTCTATTGTGCCCCTAGATCAAGCCCAACCTCAAGCCACCTTTTGTACCTAAGCCTTAATTTTTTAGGTCCAGGCCGACGCACTGTCATCCCTCTCTAAAAAATCGCACTGCCATCCTAGCTTCTTTGTTAGTTCTCGTACCCCTCACAGGGTACATTCCTAATCGAAATTCGAAACCCTTGCCTGTTCTCACTTAACATGGCATGTCCCCCTAATTAGGCACGCAGGAGTTCTCTTTATTACTTACTAGCACTTGTTTACTTACCCTTTACCCATTTCATCTCTCTCTCTCTGCACTACTTACTAGCACTTGTTTACTTACCCTTTACCCATTTCATCTCTCTCTCTGCATTACTTACTAGCATGAGGTTTATTTCCACGTTTACCCATCTCTCTCTAGCACTTCTTGTATTTCCCCTATACTCATCTCTCTCTGTTTCTCTCTCTACCAAAGCGCATACATCTTGGTGGACACCGTCTATGTCCCACGATTTTCCCTCCCTTCCTGTCAATCACTAGTCATTCACTAGTCAGAGTTCGAACTTCGCCCAAACCCAATTTAGAGAAGGAGAATTGTTTGGTGCATCCAAACCCGCACTTATTACTATACGGGTTTGAAGATCTACACCATCCACCAACAAAACTGTAGATCTACACCATAAATGATATTCCTCCAATAAAAAATAAAAAAATCAACGGTTCAAATAGTTTCTCCAAAACATATAATTACTGATTAATAATCTACATATTAAAGAAAATTAAGATTAAATTCTATTTTAAAAATAAATTATTAAGGGGCCCAAATTTCTATATGTGAGTCTGTGAACTCATAAAAACCGTGTCCTTCAAAGAAAAGCCAAGATAGCTCTCTCCTCTCCAAGCCACCAACTCCAATGGCGGTTCCAAATAAGGGTCTAGGGAAAAATATGAGAAAAAATAACGGGAAATTTCCAAAGCCAATACACCATCCATATTTATTTAAACAGTGCAGAAGGCTGCAATGTTACAACCTTATTTTTTGGGGTAAGGCTGCGATCTCATAAAATGATTTGCTTCACCCTTTGCAGACTAAATTTTGATTCAACTACTAGTCTGATTCCATACACAATATGAAATTCAATTGGGAATTTTCTTCTAATTTTCTGCAATTGAAAAATGATCATAATCACTGGAGCTCATTGGCTACTCAAGTGAGTTTCAAAATCCTATGATTGTTCTCCATACACACACATTGACAATTCTTTGAAAGAAAAGAAAACCAATGGAAATTGTTGAATTCTGCGACTTAAGCTATCATCAGATCAATGTGGCCAAACGTTTCCATATACATCAGGCTTATGGTACCGCCTATCCCATGACCATGGCACATCTGGGAAAAAAAGCCCACAAGTATAAGAAATGTCTTCCGTAACTCCCATAAATCCAATTACCAATAAAATGGATAATCACATGAAATTTCACCACATATAAGAGCAAGAACTAGAAATTTCAAGCTCATTGTACAAAATAGCGTCATGTGCAAGCAACTGCTGACCTTTAGAGGTGTATGGCTCCGGAGGGAGTTTATATGGAACAGGCAATGGGACTATTTCAGAGGATAATTCCTCACTTTCGTTTGCTTGCCAGCAAAGGGTTACCAATTTAGTTTTACCCTCTTCTGAAGTGCTGGGCAGTTCATATTTTTCCAAATCCTGAGCAAGAATAGTATTAGGAATTATAGTAGAAACAATCTCTGGAACACAATTGAAATTCACAAATAAATCAAATAGTTTTATTACTGCAAATTGTGTTTAACATATGAATGTACAACAAAAAATGATTTCTTAGGAGTAGATGGGAAAAGTATGTTACCCGAGAGGAGCTGCTATCATCTGTGCAAGAGAACCCAAGACATTGTTTACGAATCAGAGATGGCAAGAAAAGAACTCCAAGCTAATCACGTCAAAAGCAAGATTAGAATATGGGAAATATCTTGACATGAGTTAGAATCAATTAAAAGGCTGAACAATAAATATTAACCCATAGTTAACGAGATCTCCTAATGATCCCAACCATCCCATGCTCCCAGAGCTGGAACATGGGTGGATCTCGCTCCTATATGAGGGGAACACAATCCCAATCCCTTAGGGATCGGTAATAAACTCATGTTAGATTGATCTTTTGTAAGGAAACAAGTCTTAAATGCATATCCACTAAAAAATAAAAAATTACTATGTTGCAGAGGTGTGTTCTATAGATTTTCAAAAAGAAAAGAGAATTTTTAGACCTTGAGAACAATGGGATCTAGCTCCCAAGAAGTTGAGATCAAGATCCACAAAATTCAGGGTGCAAGGACAGTGATCCCGGCCACAAGAAGCTTCTAGCCTATTACAATCCCATGCTCCCGATCCAACAACTATGCCTTAATCTCTCCAAAATGCTACTATGGTATGAAAATAGAATGTTACAAGATGGAGGGAAACCGTGAATCTTTTGATTGCTAGTACTGAGTATCGGAGTATGCAATAAAAAGAAAAATAAGACAAAGTGCTCCTGGTGATACAATTCATTAGAAGAGAAAAGGGGTGGACTATATTTTGTTCCCCTTGAACGGAAAAGATAGTGGCTCCAGATATTTGAAGGGAATTGGGCTTTTCAAATAGAATAAAAGAATCAAAATATATACAAAAAAGAGAAAGGTCCCCCCACCAGTCAGTACCCTATGCCAGATTCCTAATGGAGCATTGGTTTTTCTTTAACTAGCTCATCTAATAATTCAGCCAAGAAAACTGTTTTCCGTACGAATTCCTTTTGTGGGGCTTATGGTTCCCAAGAAAAGGTAATAGGTATGCTTCTGTATGCTGAATGAACCACTCTGAAATTTCTAATATGTCTCTCCAATCGTCCTTACAAGAAGAAGACCCATCTCGAATGATGAAAACTGGGGCCATCTCTCAATTATTTCACAATAATGCACCTAGAAGTAAAATTGGTGCCATTTTGATCAAACCATGAAGAATCCGAGCTTCTATAAGCCAGGAAAATGTGGTTGCCTTATACCCCCCGGTTAAGTCTAGCAACTGTTGGGATTTTGTAGCCGTTTAAGGTCTTATGAGAGCTTGTAACAAATTTTACTATAGTGGAACAACGAACACCAGTGGGAGTATGGTCCAGAGGGACCGAGGTTAACAGTATTGATTCCGAGACTCAAACTACGTGGGCATCGAGCACCACCGATAAGGGTTAGCAGGGTTACCCCTTGATGAGGTCGAAGAAGATGCCCAGGGTAGTTTGCCAACAGACTTTGCGGCTTTTGTGTGTGACTAGTAGGCCTGTAGGGACAAGGGTCAAACCCTCATCATAGACCATCACACGGCATGTACACATGATAGTCGTATCGTGAGGCGAAGCACCAGTGACGTATTATATGTACATGTGCAAGAGATAGCCCCCATGCACCAAATTGCGATGTATGTGTACAAGTCTGTGTGACCAAGGCTTGTCCCTTGGGGGAAATCTGTAATCCATAGACTAGGATTGCGTCCCTTAACCTATTGGCTAACTTTGGTGGTTCAATCATGAACCCCTGTGATGAACTGTGAGTCATGGGAACTACTGAGTCAGTTTGAGAAAGTGAGTGTGGTACATAGTCTCTAGTAGAAAATGGAGTGCCTCAGTATTTTCGTATTTTCCTTAACATAATTGGATCTGAATCCCTTCAAATTAATTTAGAAATAATTAGTTTGACAATAAATCATTTTTAGAATGACAAAATGATTTTTAAAAGTCTCTGAATATTTTATTTTCTCAAAACAGATTTATAAATAGGTTTAAACTGAATTTTCAGATATTTCATTATTTAGAGAGAAAATTTCTAAAATTCATGATATTAATTTTATAAAAACTAAGACATATGGGGGCCCATTATTCTCCATGGGCCCCACAAAATTATAGCATGTGGGGAGGTGCGTGTGGCCCACTAGAGGCCCCATGGGTGGCAGGCACGCCCCACCATAGTGCATATAATTTCTTATTTTGATGGCATGCAAGATATGCCACTTAATCAATTGAATTGAAAAGGGAAGTTTCTGAAATAAAGACTAATTGACTTTTCAAAGAGGCATGTGTAAGAAAATGATGAAAATAAAAGGCAAGTATATTGAATTTTCTCTACACCATATATTTGATAGGATTAGATTAAAGAAACTGAGGGATAAGGTTCTAGCACCTTCCATCAGATCAAGATGGCTAATATACGGATTGTATGGTTAAAATCTCTCACCTCATAAGTTTCCTATGATCAATAATCTAGATCTAATCTCCATAAAGATGAGCAAACCCTAGAAACCCTAACCCTAAGCATGAGTCTATAAATAGTCTCTTTTGGGGGTCCCATTCTCTACACCTAAGATAGATCACATCTCTCTCTCTCTCTCCTCAAAGAAGCCTCACACCACTCTCTCTCTCTATCTCTGATCTTTCTCATCTCTCTAGCCTCCACTATACATAGAGAAATTATCTTGAAAAGAAAGAGGGGGCATGCCCCAACCATTGAGCCCAGAGAGGGGCACGCCACACCCACACAATCTTGAGCCTAGTTTATGTTCTACATTGCTCTCACCATTGAACGGTTTCTAGCCTAAGCTTCCCATACTTGTAAGATCTGAAAAAGACCTTGATCCCGTGCGCCATCGGAGGAGGAGACCCTAGTGGGGTGTATCAAGTCCAATTGAGGTAATCTTTTGGCACTTTAATTTTTGTTTATACAGTTTGTGTTTCTTGTTCCCAAATCAATATTATGTAATTTTTGTTATTGAAATAAAAGAGTTGTATTAAGTGGCAGCAGGTGAGAATCCATTTTGTGCTTCTTCTTTATTCTTTTGAGATTATTTTGTATTATTAGGACCTCTGTAAGTGTTCTAGCTGGTAGAGAAAAGAAAAATTTTGAACTACACATACCGTGCTAGTTCACCTTGTCTAACTTTCATTGGTATCAGAATTAGGATTTCTTGCTGCCATTAGTTTATTTTGTTATTTGAGTCTTTTTATATATTTGGGAAGAAAATACATGGCCGTAAGGCATTTTATTGTTAAAATTTTGAACACCGAAAGGTTTGATGGCACAAACTAAGCCTTATGGAAGCACAATAGGCTATGTGCTCTATGACAAGGGTTTGAATAATATCCTCACTGAGGCTCCACCATCTCAGCCTAGAGGTAATGCATCTCAGGCTACAAGAGATGCATACGCTGAGTGGGAGAGTAAAAATATGCTCGCAAGGTATATCCTCCTCGAGTATATGCATGACTAGTATGCATCCAAGTATGAGCTAATCAAAACCGTTAAGCGGATACATGATCGACTTGAGAAGGAATTTAGTGATCCTTCTCTCATGAGAAAAACGCTGGCCATGAAAAAGTATAATGATCTGAAACATGGCCGAAGGAGGAAAGATAGCCAACCACGTGCACACCTTCAGAGCGTTAGTTCGAGAATTGGAGGCAATTGAAATACGGCCCATTGAACCCATGCAAGTGGTTCACTTGCTAAATACTCTCCCCACTTCTTGGGAGGTATTTATATCCTCCCTTGCTACTAAGGAGACTACTCCTAGGCTAGAGGAGCTCATCACTTTGCTCAAAGCCGAGGAAGAGAGGAGGAATGCTCGAAATGCACCAGCACCCAAAGATGTGACGCATATGGTAAACTCTAAACCTTATTTTAAGCCTAATAAGAGTAAGGGGAAGTTCAAGAACAAGAAGAGAACTGAGGAAAAGGAAAAGGGAAAGTGAGAACATCAAATTAAATTTAACGGAAAGAGAGAGAATAGGCACTGCTACATATGCAAAAAGGTTGGGCATAATATGCTTGTGTTATTTTTTAGACTTTGTTAGCTGACCCTAAGGGCGCATCTTGGTGTCTGGACTCGGGAACCACAACCCACATATCAAACACCAAGGATGGCTTCCGCAATTTTAAACCCACGGGGTCAGGTGAGCAACACATCTTTATGGGGGAAACCAAAAGACCAAAGTACTGGCCGTCAGGGACTATGCACTTGAATGAAAGAATGGGAAGACCATGATCCTAAAGCAAACTCTTTATGCACCTGATGTGAGGAAATGTTTTGTTTAGGTCCCAAAGATGGCTAAAGCTGGGTTTGTCACCACCTTCTCTATAGACAAGATGACTGTCAAAAACTTCAATGATGTTGTTATGACCGGTCCTTAAAGACGAGCTTTACTTTATTGAAATAAAGGAAGAGTTTGCTTGTCTTGTTTCCCACTCATGATATTGATGCTTTCCTATGACACATGGAATTAGGGCACACAAGTTACAAAAGAATAGAAAGACTAAGAAAAGATGAAATTTTCGAGAACTACAAAGGCGATTTATCAAAGGCATGTGAATCATGCATGCAAGGAAAATTAATAAGGAAAAATCAACCGGGACACAAAGAGCTCCTAGTGTTTTAGAAATCATCCATAGCAACGTATGCGGTCTTATGAATGTGGCAACCAAAGGCAACAAAAAATACTTACATCACTTTTATTGATGACCACTCGCGATATGGCCATGTGTACCTAATACACTCAAAATCCGAAGCCTTGGAGCATTTCAAGAATACAAAGCCGAAGTAGAGAACCAAATCAACCAAAGAATCAAAGTCCTAAGGACCGATAAGGGCAGTGAGTACTCCTCACATCTCTTTAAGGATTTGTGCGTAGAGCATAATATTATCACCAATACACCGTGCCTTATACACCCGAGTAAAATGGAGTTGTCGAAAGACAGAATAAGACCTTGGTAGAAATGGTGAGAAGTATGATGGGGCATGCAAGTTCTCTCTTAACTTTTGGGGACAAGCAGTGTTGACGACAGAATACATCCTGAACCGCGCACCCAATAAGGCTGCCCCTGTTACTCATGAGATTTTCACTAGTTGTACTCC